GATGAAGGCTAATAAAATAAAAAAAATAATGTTATCTTTGAAATAACGGACATCTTATTTATGTCATATCCTGGAGTTCATATATTTATTCTATTCCTATCCAACAATTTTCAACATTTTAGGGGGTTAAAACATGTTGGATTGGACAAAATTAAGATGGGTTCCACTCAACCCATGTTTGGAAAACAAAAGAATTGTGTTGGGATATTTCATTTGGGGTTTTCCATCGGCATTTATCCATTGCACGTGAGTTTTCTCTAATGCTCTGTTTGGCAGGGAGGATAGAAAGTAGGAGAGATACATTTTCTATCCTTCAAGGGTGGAAAGTAAAAATGATACGCTTTCCTTCCTTTGTGTTTGGTTGGATGGATGAAAAATAAAAATGACTATTTTTTTTTTGTGTCAGCTAAAATTAGAGGTGATAATAGAGTCGTGTCGTGTTAGATTCGTGTTAAGTCATTATGAGTTTGTGTCGAACATTAGTCAAACTTAACTTAACTCATTTAACTAATTGTGTCGTGTCGAGTTACGAATTAACCTATTTATTTTCGTTTCGAGTTCAACTCGTGTCATCGTGTTGAGTCGTAAATTTTCACCCTTAGTTAAGGTGAAAAATATTTTTTTTTAATTTATAATTTTTTAAAAAATTAATTTTTAAAAATTTTAAAATATATATACATATTTTATCATTGTATTTTTGTATGAAATTAATGTATACATAAGATTTTTAGATAAATAAGATACATCTCAACACAAATAATTAACTTTTCATCCACTTTCCTTCCGATTTTGGAGGGATTAATTTGGTGAGTTGGAAGGAAAGTTAATTCATCAACTTTTCTATCCTTCCTACTTTTCTTCCTTACCAAACATGATGTTTTATTTATTCTTCTAACTTTTTATCCTCTCACTTTTCTATCGTACCAAACGGAGCATAACTCTTCTAGGGGTTGATTAAACTTGGGGTCAATGAAATTTCTTGTAAAAAGACTTGTACCACTTACTTTTTGGATTGTCTGAGGAATATGAAGGTAAAATTCATTAAAAAAAGGTTTTTCAAATCGTTAGGTAATTTAATAAATGTGTTTATTAAACCTGAGATTGATTAGAAATGTACTCTTTTTCCCAGGCAATACAACAAGTTGTATTGGATAATGTTAGATTGAAATGGATAAAAAAACTCAAATCCTAAACGCCACATCTTTAAAACATGGGATAGTATAATATGCTTATCCAACCCTATCCCAAAAATCCAATTGAACGTTTCTGGGTTGCTCTAGAGGCCGACAGGGCCCAGCCCTAATTATCAAAGTAGCTCATTTTGCCTCAACTTTGAGGCCCAATGACGTGTTGGTTAAAAATGGAGAAAACACGAGAGAGATTTACTAAGTGGGTCCCAAGAACTTAAGACTCAAATCCTAGTACTATTCCATTTCAACCAATTTTAGATATTTTTACTCAAGCCCAACTCTTTTTTTTTTTTGAGATAGAGGTGTCCGGATCAACTTAAGCACATCTCGAGTAATCCTCTCTCCAGGTCGGTTGAAGTCAGACCATCTACATCGGGACTAAGGTATTTATGAAGGATAAATCTCTCATAACTTAACTTTAAGGAGTTGCAAAGATTCAAAATCAGAACGTCTGAATTTACAACTCGTCTATATTACCGTTTGAACTACCCTAAGAGTTACCCAAGCCCAACTCGAATATTAGAAATCTTTGCCCAACAACATAGTATTTCAGGATGTACTCAGGTGAAATTTTATGGTTAACCTGTCCGAGTTGCCCCCTTTATTGTATTGCTCTTGTTTGGCTCATAATCCAGGTAACCAGTGGTTGAGTACTTGTGATGAATCTTGTTCTAGTACCAGATTCTCTTATTTCCTTCAATGTTAGAGTGACACTAAGAATCTAAGTAGGCCTTTCACCAACACAAAATTTATTATATAATGATGGGACATTTTCGGAATACTCCAAGATGAAGACACGTGTCTTCGGTGTCACTGATCCTTGTTTATCGAGATCACGTACCCATCGGGTCACAAGTCCCTCTACCCCGAGGTACTTATCATGGGATCGAGTGGCATCCAGTACGGTTTTATGTACCGACACGTACCCTCGGTCTGATATGGTACATCGGTCGCTAGGCCTCCCCCCTCTCGGATTCAAGATGTACCTCTTCCTCGGTTCTAAGATGTACCTCTTCCTCGGTTCCGAGATGTACCCCCTCCTCTCATCCATGATGAAGTTCTCTGCTCCAGCAGAGGTTATTGATGCACTGGTCACTAGCCTAGGCTAGGCTAGGTTAGCTATCATGACCTCGTCTTACACAATTGGTGTTAGAAGGCACAGGAAGGCAGGGGCCACAACCAATGAGGAATGGACGCGTGACATATTGTGTCATATTAGAGACAGAAAAATCGCATGACCTTGCTGACACGCGACTTGGGAGAACAAACATTTAATTACATCATTCCCTTGATGAGACTGCATTCAATGCGGTAAGGCTCAGAAGTGAAAGGCAATAAATATCTCTAAGGCTGGGCATTTATTGCATCCTCCCCAAGAGGAGCTCATTGAACCGTCGGCAGGCCGATGGCACAGACTTGATTGTTCGGGGTCCCGAGCAGTTAAGAGAGAAAACATTCCTCATAGGAATTAGTGTGCACGTTGCATGTATCTAATGATCACCTACTGACCACATTGACAACAAATCATGAGTATTTGAGGTATAAATACTCCTCACTAAAGGCAAGAACGGAAGGTGAAACTTTTGCTATAAATTATACTCAGTGTTTTCTTCTTCCTCTCTCTCAAAAACTGACTTGATCGTCGGAGGGGATACGCCAGAAAATACTCCGGCGCCCTTCTAACTTGTTCTTCTTTGTTCCAGGAATCTTTCTTCAGCCTTACTGGATCGTTCCTTTGATCCGCGAGAGTCTCTCATTACCGTTTCAAGTTACCACTGGATCTCACAGGTTGTTCCAAGCAGCGTGATTGACCACTCAACTGACTCACTCGAGTTCACCAAGGGAGAGATCTGTTCTCGTTTTTATATTGTGCAAGATCTAGCACGCACATATAATATTTTTTTGGTGCTTATAAGATCTGATATTAAAAGAATTTTAAAAAAACTTAATATTGATAATCATAATTTGATTATTCTTGAACACAATTTATGTGAGAGGAAGCCCAAATATTGTTGAATCTTATAATTCGACTATTCTGGTATAAATCTCATTAAATATATCAAGGCATTCGACCAAATATTGTTGAATCATGCTCGTCCTGACGTTCTATTTACTTTGTTTTTTTTTATAATTTTATGACTAGAATAAAATAATAGTTCTTAAACTATGTACCTCATTTCACGCTGGTTCTCATTTTTTTCAACCGTCTTACTGTGGTTCCTAACATTTTTAATTTAAGTGAAGAATAGTTCAACCGAAAACGATGGTTGAGGGTCGCATATTTTAAGAATCGCTAATGTATTTTTATATATTAAGAGGTCTCTTTGTAATTAACGCAAAGTGATTGGAATTGGCAAAATTTGAAAATTTTCTATCAGACAAGGAAAGACTAGGTTAACGCGGACAGATTCGTACTGAAAATTTTAATTTTTTAAGATTAAATTATAATTTTGTTAAGATGTAAGTTATAAGGATATAATCAATACTGAGAGTTTATGATCGATTATGGACATCTGTAATTGACTTATGATCAATCATGACATTCTTTTTAACAATTATAATGTCCCGTTCTAAAATTATAATTTCATCGTAAAAAATAATAACCGACCATACATATCATTTCCATCAATAGCATCCAAACAAAAGCATATTTGGGTGAGAAAAAAGGGCATTTTGGTACATATGAGGTTCGGTTTTACAGGTAATTTCGTTGGACGGACATGCACGGAACAGTACATTCCTTCGGGTACCTCTTTTTGGGATCTTCCTAAGTTGTCACACAATGAAAACCGTTTATTAGGCAACCTCCTCGCCCTTCTCTCTCTCTCTCTCTCCATATCCATGTTCCTCCCCCACCCCCATTCTCTTCTTTGGTTCTCCTTTCTTTGACTGCTCTTGATTCGTTAATTTCCCATTCCAATCGGAATCTCTGGCTCTGTGTGTGTGTGTGTGTGTGTGTGTGTTTATGAGTTGATTTCGATTGAAATAATTCTTCTGCTATGTCTATTTGAATCATAAAAGCAATACAGGCCTTTTTGGGTTTTAACCCAATTAGGATTTGGTCAACCTTTACGTCTCTTTTTCTTTCGTGTCTTTTCTCTTTTTCTTCATTGGGTAATTATGGGTTTTGAATTTGTGTTTCTGGGTATTTTCCCTTTTCTTGGTTAACTTTGTGTTGGAGGGTCTTTGGGCTTTGTCGCCTTCTTAGGGTTTACCATTCATTTTTATTAAATGTTATTGGGTTTGGGGTTTCATTGGCAAAAAAGAGATGGTTGGTGATAAGAAAGTTAGGGTTTTGAATTGCTGAAAAGTCAATTTCTTTTTTTTTTTCCTCATATTTTTATTGGTCAGGGTCCTGGGGTCAATAGTGGAGGCAATTGTTATTGCCGTCTTGGAATCGGGTCGTTATATTTGGTTTTTATAGGATTAGTTGTTTTCTGCTTCATTTGATTGAGGTATGACCTGATGAAGCTTGTTTTTTTCTTGCATTGTTATTGTAGAATTTTCGAATCGACTACATGTCTTGTTTTGATTTAATTGTCTGACTTGTTAAACGAATTTTCACATTTGGCAACCATTGATGATGATGATGAAAAGTTTATAGTTTGTGTTGATCAGGCCTTCCTAGAAATTACCAACATATCATTTGTAGCTGGGTTTAGTTTCTTTTGATTGGTTTACTTGATTTTTATCATTCGGAATTTCAGTTGTTACTGTAGTTGTGGATTTGGATTATTTGTTATACCATCTGGATTGTTGAAAATGGATTCGAAAACAAGTGAGCAAGGTGGAGATGTTCCAAAAACACGGAATTTGGACGATCAAGAGGGGCGTTTGAACTCAAAAATGAAAGGAGTTGGAAGTCTTAGCGAGAAAAGTATATCGATGAAGGGTCCGGGAAATCTTAGTAGCAAAGATATGATATTTAGAGCTGATAAAGTTGATCTCAAAAACTTGGATGTTCAGCTGGAGAAGCACTTGAGCCGAGTTTGGTCAAGAAACACAGAGTCTCAAAAGCCTAAGGAAGTTTGGGAGATTGATCCATCTAAGCTGGATATAAGATACCTTATAGCTCAGGGCACTTATGGGACTGTGTATCGGGGTACTTACAATAACCAAGATGTTGCAGGTACAAACCCTCTTTTCCTCTTTATTAGACTACATATTTGCTTAATCCTCCGCCAACTGTCAGGGAACTCAAAGGGTTATTGTATGATGCCATACCCTTCTCTCTGTCTGGGGCAATTGTTACTTTAATTTGAGCCATGATCTTTGTTGTAAGTGGCGAATAAACTTAGTTGTTACTCCCTATTTGCTTCATTCAACATTAGCTGCATAAAATTATGCAAGTGCATATAAAGCACGATTTATGGATCTGGTTATCGTCGGGTGTCCTTGGTAGCTGTCACTGTGTAATTTATTCTAGAAATTGCTTTTTTTGCCTGTTTGAATTATGAAGCAACAAACTAAAAGGGCTAAGAACAAAACTGAAGCATGTCGATTATCTCATTAGGTTCTGCTTAGACATACAGGAGTGTTGTTTAAGGTAAAAGAAGGAAAAGTAGGACAACTCCAATTGTATGAACTGGTAATTGCAAAAACACTTCTGGCATCTTATTGTAACAAAAAGAAGGGGCCAGCCTAGTGCACGAGCTCCCACCACTGTGAGGTTTGGGAAGTGTTTTCTTATTGTAATACTGCAAGTGTTTTCAATTTAATTAATTGGGATGTACACATTACAAACATTAGTGTTATTATTGCAGGGGTTATCCATGACTGGAGCTAACTAGTCTGATGCCTTCATAGTTCAACTATTAAAGCTGAGAGAAGAGTACACACAGATTAGTCATGGAAGACAATATTAAGAGTGTGAAAGAGCAGTAGTTTGAGCACAGAGGACAAATTTATAAATGTTACTCTTTTGTAAGAAATGGGCCTTGACCTGGCAGTGTTCTAGTTAATAGCCTATAGCCTATAGGTCTAAGCTCGTGTACTATGTAATCTCTTCAAATCACATAACTTCCTGTGACTACACTCTTAAAAAATAAGGAATGTTCAGTTTCTGATTCCTTCTGTATCATACTGGCGTGCTGCAATTTCAAGTTTTGGACACTGTCATACTGCAATTCGAATTTTCTTTGCATATGTTGTTCCTTTAGGAGGAAAAAACTGTTGGAGTTACAGTAATATATTTCTTGTACATTTGTTATAAGCATGGTTAAAATAAAGAATAGGAACTTTCTTTATGTTTGAAAAAGAAATTTGGGAGTTTAGAAGAGCATTTCTCATCAAAACAGTCATGCCCTTCAAATCTTGTTGCAGATGCATTTTTTTTTCCCTTCTCCCTGAGGTTTCATAACTCAGGCATACATGATAGATAATCATTCGATATATGGCTGTAGTATTTTCTTTGGAGACTTCATTTTTTCTGATGGTCTTTCATATGTTGAATGTGCTTCTAAGTAGTTGTGTATTCTGTCTAGCTTATGTCTTTTGGTATTTTGAAAATGAACATAGGTGTAATTTTTAGTTTTTTCATTCAAATCACATCTTATAACAGTATTGGCTGTGCTCTAATATACCAATGAAAGCTCCCACGTTATGCTTATGTGAATCATAGCAATCCTGAGGCATTACATTTGGAGCTAGAAACATCATTTTTTGTAAGAGTGATTATTGATAGTGTTGAGAAGGACAGGCTGAAGAAATATTTGGTGTTAAAAACAAACGCTGACGGAAAATGTAACCAGATGAAATTTGGATTCCTGTAAAAGATTTGCAAATGAAGTGTGATTGGGTGACGCAGTGAAAGGGAAGCACGCGTTTTCGTTGACATTGACTAATTATTTTTCGACTTTGCAATCTTGTGATGCAGACAAACTACTGATATGTGTTGAACTTCTTTAAGTACAATCATAAAGAAAGCAGCATATAAATCAAGCAGGGGAAATTAATAAAATTTTGAAGCATGTTTGGCATGTTGTCTAGTTGTTCAATATACAATGGATGCATGAGAGCCGCATTTGAGAAACTGCAGCTAAATTGGCTGCTATTAAAGTTGAAAGCACTTTCTTTTCATTAATGGAACAATATCCCTTCGAGGGTTTGTCTATTCCTCTTTATGTGTGAGTTTATATAGACTTCCTTACTGCACTGTTCTCTTATATTTTAATAGTGAAGCTGTTGGACTGGGGCGAGGATGGCTTGGCCACAACTGCTGAAACTGCTGCTTTGCGAACATCATTTCAGCAAGAGGTTTCCGTTTGGCATAAGCTTGACCATCCAAATGTCACAAAAGTATGATTTTGAATCCAAAGTTTTTTTCCTGGGCAAATTAGTTGTCATTATCCTGAGCATTATATGTGCTTTTCACAAAATTTATTTCCTTTTGTATGTTTACTGGCAAGGAGTTCCCTCTGTAATTTTTTGCTGGGCAATCTAAATCTTTTTCTGTTGACTTCCCTACTGGTAAATACTGTTGACGATTTTGCATATAATTGCTTGCAGTTTGTTGGTGCTTCAATGGGGACTTCGAATCTTAAGATTCCTTCTAAAAACCCTTCCACTGATGGTTATATTAACCTACCATCAAGGGCATGTTGTGTGCTTGTGGAATACCTCTCAGGCGGGACACTGAAAAACCTCTTATACAAAAATAGGAAAAAAAAACTTCCCTTTAGGATTGTGATTCAACTTGCTTTGGATCTCTCTAGAGGGTGAGTTTCTATTTGAAGTATATCTAGCTGCAGTTTCCTTTAATGTAACGGTTGTGTTAATTTTCCAGATTGAGCTATCTACATTCGAAAAAGATTGTGCATCGTGATGTCAAAGCCGAAAATATGTTGCTAGATGCTCATAGAACTCTAAAAATTGCTGATTTTGGTGTTGCTCGTGTTGAAGCCCAGAATCCTCAGGACATGACTGGTGAAACTGGAACCCTAGGGTACATGGCCCCAGAGGTAATCATGCTTTCTGACAAGCTATCATGGAGTGAAAACAGTTCTTCACCAGACTTAGTGATGTGGTTGAGTCTTCTTTGCTGAAGATCTCCTCCTTTTTCTTCCCTTTTCCTTTACTTTATATTCTTTGATTCTTTCTTCTTCCTGCTGGGCTTATGGGGTTGGAAGACTACATGCACACCCTTAGCTATGCAACAGTTATCTCACCCACCTCCACCTGTTGGGTGGGTCTCTCTGCTAATCCACAAGGCTGCAACATTTGTGGAGCAAAGCCCTTGAAATAACATCCTAACTAAAGCTTGTTGGCTTCTAACGGGTCCCAAAATAAATCAAAAACTGCGAGTGATGCCTTCTCGCATTATCGCGATGATAGAGGCTGGGTTGGGTGGATCTGGTATTGTGCTGCATGGTCCTTTTTGGTGGGCTAACAGCAACATTGGCTTCGTTGAAATGGAATTTATGTATACAATCAAACCATGTATTGCTTATTATTATACTATTTTAAACATTTGGACCCGAAATAAATCAGACCCAATTTGATTTGGAGTACAATAATTTTTTGCTCTCTCTCTCTCTTGCTCTCATATATAGAAGAGACATTAAGTGATGTACTTTTTGTAGGTTCTTGATGGCAAACCATATAACAGAAAATGTGATGTCTACAGCTTTGGCATATGCTTGTGGGAAACCTATTGCTGTGATCTGCCTTACCCAGATCTTAGCTTTGCTGAAGTTTCATCAGCAGTTGTTCGGCAGGTTGGTTGGCAAGTTTATCAAGTCATTTCACTCTGTAATACTGCATATTTTTTGCTGATTGATGCATCAATTCATGTATTAGCAGTTGATTTGTGCGATGCATGTTGAAAACGAATGCAGAACACATGATTTTTCTCTTTAAAGTATGAAAAACTGGATACTGACATTATTGGAATTGCATTAGTTGTAACTCAAACGTAAAATTAAGATCACAAGAATTCGACAATTAGCAAAAAGAGTAAAGTTACGTAATGCTTATTGAGTTTTATAAATTACTTATAAACTAGCAATGACCTTGTGCGTACAAAGACTCTACAATACCAAAAATTAAATATTGATCGTGCAAAATTTATGTTTTAAATAATAATTTATTTATTTTTTCCTTTCTTTAAATACACAATTTAAAATTAAAGTGAACAGGAAGAAAATAAGAGAGAGGTAAGGAAGGGAGAAAAAAGACGTAGGTGTGGATTAATGAGATTGTTTGACGGGTGTTTGTTGGTTGAGTTGTCTGAGATTGAAGGTAATGTAGAGAAGAAGATGCTTGTGTGAGCGGGAAATTTTTTTTAAGATGACTTTTGTACAATTGGATCAAAGTAGATTGAAATTGGATTAATCTTGATCGTTGTCGTGCTTTTATAAGTTGAGAATTCAACTTCTTAGCTATAGCCTATAGTATTAGACAGATGTAACGTTGAAGTGACGATAAATTTTATTGAAGTAAATCTTTGCTGTAACCAGTTTTACATTCATGTTCTTCATGGAAGTTTGATATTGTATGTCTATATTTTCAGAATTTGAGGCCAGAAATCCCCAGATGTTGCCCAAACGCCTTAGCAAACGTTATGAAAAAATGCTGGGATGCAAATCCAGAAAAACGTCCGGACATGGATGAGGTTGTGAGGTTGTTGGAATCAATTGATACAAGCAAAGGAGGAGGAATGATACCGGAAGACAAGGCTGGTGGCTGTTTTTGCTTTGCTTCGGCTCGGGGTCCGTAACTCATTTATATCTGCCAATAACTTTGTTTTGTGAAGCCATCCATTGAAATTGTTGGAGATTTTCTTATGAATGCTATAAACATGGTTTTGCATAGTTCATAATAATCAATTGAAGTTCTTCATCTTATGTTTGATCATTTGCAAAATCATAATCTAGTTAAACACTAGGTGCATCATGTTGGATACACCAATCTTGTAGGATCCTGTGTTAGTTGTGAAAACACTAGAAATCAAAATATTGATCCCTCCTTGTTGATCTTCAGTAGTATTGTTAATTGACTTTGAAACGCGGCGGTCCTCTACGACAATCCTTTGCAGGTTGCCCTTTTGAATTGTGATAAATGAACCTTTGTTGGTTAGAACACAGTCTAGAGAATAGAAATCAGCCAAATTTTGCTGGTTTTCAATGTGCTTCTTCCCTTGCATTCTCTGTGGGATTGTAATGCCTTGTGAACAAAACCCGGTGAGCTTAGTGGCAGTAAATTTTGCTCGCGTTGGAAATTTGCAGAATTTTGTTAGTATCAAAGACGCAGGAGTATGGTGTTTCTGAAACCATTTTCTATATGATTCTGGTTGTTGGGGTATCTGCTATGGCAGCAATGCACTCTCTGGGGGTTATGTTCAAAGTGTAAAATTCTCCTGGAGTGAACTTCTAATGATGCATCCATTTAGCCCAAAATTTTGACAAATAGCCTGTCCGTGCCCGTGCCCGTGCCCGTACCCGTGCTTATATTAAGATGGGCCAATCGTATGCCGACACTAATAGGCCAGGGGAGACTACAAAATAATTTATAATTGTAATATATAATATAAAATTCAGGTTGTGTTAATTTCGTATTTGGCAGATTCTTAATGTGTTTATCACAAATCATCTAAATTTGTCTTTTCCTAATTCCATGCCGATCCATGGGTCATGTCTAAAATTGCCATAGTATATAATGCCATAATATGATTAAGGGAAAATTTCAGTTATATCCTTCTACTTTATCATATATTTATGAACACTTCCTCTAATACCGAAAATATCACTAATATGTCTTCTAGTTTATATTTAAACATCACTAACACACCTGTTGTTAAATCACCGTTTCTAAAAAAAAAATTCATCTAAAATACCAAAATTAACCCTACATAAACCCAAACAATCTTTCTAATAAAATTTGAGCCGATTAAAATTTATTTTTTTACATAATAAAATTTGAATCGATTAAAATTCATTTTTTTATATATTAAAGTTAGAACCGATTAGGATCCAAGTCTTACCTGGATGGTTAGAGTCCTCTGTAGACTATAATGGAGTAGCAGGTTGATGGTTTGAGTTTTCCTTTCCCTCGCCCTCCTTTGTAGTGTAAAAAATATCGTTGTCTATAAAAATAAAAATAAAAATTGAGTCAATTAAAATTCGATTCGAGTTGATTACATTTTATTTTATTTTTTACGTATTAAAAATCAAGTCTATTCAAAATTATTTTTTTATATATTAAATTTTGAGCCTATTTCAACTCTACGTGAGTTGTTAGCGTCGATTAAAATCCTCTTGGAATTGATTAAATTTATGTTTTTTTACTTATTAAAATTTGTGTCAATTAAAATTTGATATAAGTTGATTAAAATTTATTTTTTACATGTTAAAATTTGAGTCGATTAAAATTTATATTTTTTATGTATCAAAATTTAGTTCGATTAAAATTCAATTTAAATTGATTAAAGTTTAATTCGATTCAATTAAAATTTTAATATGTAAAAAAATTTAATTTTGAATCAACTTGAATTTTAATGCTAAAAAATAAATTTTAATTAACTCAAATTAAATTTTAATATATCCGAGCTTTAATACGTAAAAAAAATTTAAAAAACAAAGGGGTTTCATTGAAAATATACTTATTTAAAAGGCGTGCGGATGAAGTTTTTTTTTAAATATATCATAGAAATTTAGTAAAATTACATTTTAGTTAACTCCTTTAAGCTGATAGGAAGTGTTAGTGAAGATTTAAAAAATAGAAGAGATGTCTCTGAAGATATGATAAATTAGAAGGGGTTGGCTGAAATTTTCTCAATGATTAAGGCCTTTTTTAGTTTTCGGAAATTATTTTTTATTATCAAAATTTTGAAAACACCTAAAACATGTTCGTTTAGCATTTTATTCTCTAAATTTTGGAAAAAAAAAATGAAATTTGAGTCAAAAAAACAAAAAACAAGTGTAGCTTATTTTCAGAGTTTGATTTGAAAATTTTGGAAATAAGAAAAATAATTTTGGATATTCAGATATGAGTATATATATATATATTATGAAATTTTTAATATAAAAATAACTTTTTTTTATATTTTTTTATTAATATTTGAATTATTGTTCAAATATATACTTAGACAGTCCAAATAAGTTTTCTATTTTTTATATTGTAAATTATTTTTAAAATCATCTAATCAAATAAATTTTTTATATCAAAAATATTAAAATCACTTTCTTAAAAACTTTCTCAAAAACTGGACTTCTGGTGCTGTGGACTTTGGAAATAGTTCCCACAGCTCAACCGAATAGAGGCA